CCACCAAATGGCCACCATACAAACCACCCTCACCCAACTCCCGCCACAATACTAGCCCAAATCCCCCAGCCTACTCCACCCCCACCTCCCTCTGCAGGCCCATCCTTCGATGAAGCATTCTCCTCATTCACTGCAGAGGTGAGAAATCTCAACACCAACCTTCCCATTCCTCTATCTACATCCACCACCACCTCCGTGCCACCACAAGCTTCATCATCAAGCACGGAGTTTGCTACCAGAGCCGATATGAGGGCTCTGTCCAAGGCACTTGTCATGAGATAAGTGCAAAATTCGTTCATCGCACTATTCATCCGACCAGGGTTCTCTCCCAGAACCTTGTTGATGAACAAAGGCGCACCATCTCTCTCCTTCACACATTGGAGGAGAGCCGAAGACAAGCATCCCTGAAGGCGTATCTTGCATCCTTCAGGAAGGAGAAAATGAAGAAGAGGAGCAGAGCCTCATGCTCAAGTAGCCGCCTGCAAAAGAGGCCACGACATGAGGACCTAGACCCCGATGATTAAGGTCTTGGACCTCATGAGGGGGAGGATCAAGCCGCGGTTGCCCAGCAAATGGAATCCGCTCCACCACCACCACCACCACAAACACAAGAACAACCACCACCCACAACCGAAGGAACCCAAGCAAGGGAACCAGAGGCTTAGCCCTCTAAAGATGTACAAAATGTACATGTTCCCTTCGCTACTACCCAAGAACCCATCGTGTTGAGTTCCTCAACCGATAAAAATCCATCCACTCCACCTTTTACTCCATCACCAATACCAAACTTACCCTTAACTCCTTCACCAACTCCTCGCACCACAGAACCCATCACCACCTTACCCATACAACCAGAACCAACAATAATTCAACCTTCCTCACCCCAACAATCTCAAACCCAAACAGAACGCCATGAACCATAAACCACCCATCCTGAACCCAGTGAACCAGAACCAACCCAAGCTTAACCAACCCAACAAGAAACCTTACCTTCACCAACCCATACACAACCCTCAACCCAACCAACCACGGTGCAAGCGGATATTCCCTCTTCGTCAAGACAACCTCCGCAGAGCCTAGTCGATGAAATTAATCAGAACATGGAGTCGCTGCGGAGACGTCCAGAGTGCCACTCAGGGAACCTATAATGATGGAAAATATCCATCAATACTTGTATCACGACCGATGAAGACATCAAGGCAGAATTGACTAAGTCTAGAGAACAACCAGAGGGTTGATGAACAACCAGAGATGCGATGGAAAGAGCATCTTCATCACCCCTCTGGTCAACAACACTTAGAGTTTTCTTCAGCAATTCAACCCGAGACATACAATGAAGATATGAAGATAAGTTTGATTCATCATCCCATGAAAGACAGCTGGAGATGACAAGTCGACAGCTAGATTTCAAGTTTATCTTAATATTATAGCTTATCAATAGTTTAGATAAACATTATCTGTTAATAGAAGATTAGCTAAATAGTCTCACTAGATAGTTATCTTCTAATTAGCTTACTAGTATAAATAGGTGATTAGGCCTATTGTATTCAATGTCGCTTTTACGTTTTTCTTTTTAATAAAGTGAAACTTTTGACACTCAAGATTGTTCTTTGTTCATAATTTATTCTTGAGTGTTCATCACTTTGTTCATTAAAACACTATAATTTGGTTATTCCTAACTCGATTATTAGTGTTATTGAGAGATTTGGGATCAACAAACACAAAAAAATATTCAAATTTGGATCAAAATCCAGATTTTCTCAAGATTTTCAAGACCACAAAAAAATCAAAAACACGCAAAATTTGACCAAATCTTGAAAATTAAAGACCAAAACACATAAACTTGTAAAAAACAAAGATTCACATTGCAAAAACGTACAAAACGATCAATGTTTTAACACAAAAACATAAGATTTAAAAAAAATTTGGATCAAACTTAAAGAAAAATGAAGAACATAAAAAAAATGAAGAACACATAAAATTCCAGAAAATTTTCCTTCAAAAATCTTCAAATTTCTGATTTCTTCTCTTGATTTCAATGCACTTCTTGCTCTGGTACCAATTGATAGGTCACTTTAATCAATCTTCAAGTTAAATCTTCATAGATTTATGGCAAATCTGATTTATCATTCAATAACATTTAGGAGATGAAGAGAGGAAAAGTCAAACTAGTCAAACCTTCATACATATGATGATTTTAACAAATGAGCTCTCTTACATCATTTACAAGGAAAACACCCTTTATATAGGGTCAAACAATACACAAATGGTCAAAGTCAAACTATTTTAATAAAAGTCAAACATGATGACTTTTATACAAATTAGACAATTTTATCTTTCAAGACGAATACAATTTTACACCAAATTTCATTCCTAACATGCTCTGCATCAAGCACTTAACGTTTTTGGTGCTCAAGGCTTGATTTTCCTTGGAATAGAGCATGGTCTCTGTATATGAGACTTTTAGCTCTTGAGTAAGAGCTATGTCTCTTGATATATTTTGCATAAGAGCTCTTGGTCTATACCGCTTCAAAATACTAAGTCCTAATGACTAGAGTAAGAGGCTTCTTACTTACACTTTTACAAGATGGGGTCTAACAATCTCCATCTAAGTGTAAATAAGGTAGACTCTTACTTGAATGAAAACACAAGTCTAATCGAAGCCAGAGGTCAAAAACGACCTCTGTATTACATTTACTATCTAAAGTTTTTACAATACTCAAAAAGGAAATTACATGACTTGAAATTTAAAAAACAAACGATAGTGATAACTTACAAAGGTAGAGGCCTAGATATGTTGGAGCTTCATGAACCTCCAAAGAAACTCACGAAACTCTAATACATTATCTATAGATCTGACCATGTTGCTTGACCTCTCCTTTACGCCTGGGGTAGTATCTCTGCTTCTTAGAAGATTGTTCTTAATGAACCACCGAGTTGAGTTTGAGTATTTAAAACACTAATCTTCACGGAAGAACATTTTTCTGCTTTGTTCATTCCTGAAGATCACCCCGTGTTCTAGTTCCACCAACACTGTCCACGAGGGGATATGCTTAATGCCTTCAAAGTCTTCCTTCGGTGCAGTGAAACTAAGCTGGTCTACCCCCATATCCAAAGCAATTTTGAGGTTGATCTTACACCTGTAGTCGAGAAGGTTAGTCATCGTTTGTCGTATTGCTGAGTTAGCCAGACCGTATTTCATACCCTTGTCTCTCTTATGATCGGTGAAGAAGTACAAAAAACAGAAGATCCTAGTGATTTAGATTGATGAGGTCACAATCTGTGTAGGTGCAAATCTGCCATGGGATCTCTCCACAATGTATTCGTGAAAGACTATTTGGTTGTGGGCAAAGGTCTGTTTTTTGATATCTAAGATCTGCTTGATGCCATTCACTGAGTGAACTGCAGAAATTGGTTGAATAAATTGGCGTATGAACCTCTGCTTTATATTCTCTTGAGCCATTGGATGCAGATTGATCTTCTGAGTGGGCACTTCATTCCTCTGGCTATAGAGATCTTGAAACAAGTCTTCACTGTCGGCGTTGTCCTTGATCGGATTCTCACGAGGTGTGGGCCTCATCATTGCATCCATTCGGTCCCTGATCTCTTGTACTCGATCAGAAGATGGTTTGGAGCTCCAAGGCCTGCTGTTGCTTGCTCTTGGATGGCTAGCTCTAACTAGGGACTCCTACCTTAGCGCAAGTGTAACGACTTTGGTCCCTTGGATGGGAACCTTAACTTTATGGGTATTGCGGTGTGGTGGTGGTGCAGCGACAGTAACTTTGGTGGCTAGTGGGATCGCCATTGGAGGAGTAGCATGTTTTGTTCTTTGTTGCCTCTTCTCTGGCTCCACAACGTTTACCATTACCACTTCTTCTTAATCAATCCATGTGGGTGGAGCGGTTTCCATGAAGTATTCTGTGGAGGATGATAGACTAGATGACGATGAAGAGACATATATTGAGAGAAGCTTGATGGCATCGTCTTCATCGGTCATCTGTCATACCGGTATGGCTATTCTTGGTGTAGCTGGTACCATTTCTTCTCTGCCGACCTCCTTTTGTACGTGTACAGCCCTGGATTATTGGTTGGATGGCGTAGGGGTTGGGTCTTTAGGAGTAAAGGTAGAGGGGGCAGCAATAGGAATGGTATTTGTTGATGCAGTAGGCTGTTTCTCCCCTTCTTGACGACTTTTAGGACTAGACTGGTCTGGGTCTTCATTATCATCAAGCCTTCTCTTCTTCAAGGCTTCTGCACAAGTGGATGGCTCTATTGGCTTTCTCTTTGGCTTCTGCACGTCAGCTGGAGCCATAGCTTTGACCTTGGCGTCGAAGAGGTGGACGATGTTTGAAGCGGCATTTGTGGCTTTTGTGAGCTCTACATCCGCCCTGAATTTGAATGCAGCCAGCGAGAGGCGCATATCAACGACTGCCTGCTTGGTCGTGTTATTGAAGTCAGAGGTGTAGTTCATCACCTTTTGGAGTAGTCGATCACCCAGAGCCCGCATCTCGGTCTGGGTGATGTAGTCAGCAGCGACACTTAGAAGAAGAAGCGTTGTTTGATCTTGAGTTGAGGTTGAAGCAGCATCCCTCTGAATGTGAGCAAGGACCCTTTTGCAGGATCTCTAAATTAGTTACCATCAATTCCTGTAAACGTTCGAGTCGAGTAGCATTCGTCAAATACTCAGTTTCCAATACTGCTAAGGATGATTGAACCTCATCCAGAGCAGGTGCAGAGGTTGAAGGCTCTGCACAGGACATGTTGAGTTTTACCTCATCCAAAGAGCACAACATAGAGTTGACAAAGGATTGGAACTCATCCTTTGTAACGTATGCTGTTGAGGTAACCTCTAGCTCAACACATGAGCCAGGTTTAGTCTGTCTTCCTTGAACACCTTCTGTGTTAACTTGTTTGATGTTGATCAAGGAAGGATTTATAGTCGATCCTTGTATCTCTCTTAGAGGAGAAGACACTACAATTGTTCTGTCAAGAGGGATTTCTTAAACAGATTCAGAGGCAGATGCGACCTCTGGCTGGTTTGGCTGTTTAGGGTTCGAGGTGTGCGCCACTTGTTTAATGACTCCAGTTGTTCGACCAACAGAGTCTGATTGGGTGGATGCACTTGGAGTTGGGCTTGGAATATATATGTGCCTATTCTGCATCCTAGGCTGCTCTGGCTCTTTCTGACCCAAAGCAGTTTCTCCGACTCTTTCCTCGTTGCCCTCATCGCTATCAGATGAGGAAGAGCTCTCATCCTCACTCTCTTCTTCCTCTAGGTCCTCTACGTCAGAGCTTGAAGATTGTTCTTGGCGACACAGGGCATCTTCTATCGTTTTTCTCTCTTCTTCCTCGTGCCTCTCTCGTTCTTCCCTCTCTTTCCTTTTCTTTTCCTCCTCCCTTTGTTGTTTGGCTTCCTGCCTCTTCCTCTTCTGCTCCCTCTCTCTCCTGGCTCCCTCCCCCTCGGGTAAGGGTCTTTCTTTTTCGTATCCCACTTGGGTTGTCCCTATGCGTGCCGGGGTTCGAGTTACTAGTTCTAGTGCCTCGCGTACACATCTGTATGTCCTTCTTACCTCCCTCGTCTTCATATATGCCATCAGCTTCGTTGGAATGGGCCTCTCAGCAGGATATCCATCCTTGGGCATAGTAGGCTTTTATGTTGAGAGTATATGCACCTTATGCATAGGAAGGCATGCGACATCGATGCTCTGCTCGTCAATACTAGGTCTTAGGAGAAAACATAGAAAGCATGGGAAGAATAGAGCGGGCAACTCGTTTCTCTTCGAAACATCAAGGATCTTCTTGGCGACCGCAGCCTTGTATTTTGTATACAGAATCAAGGAATAGTCGAGGGAAAGATCAAAGAATATCCCGTACACTATCTGTAGGATATTTGTTGAGCACATGTCGAGGCTGCCAATTTTTCCTGTCAGCGAGTGATTGACCAATGTGAAAAGGACGTTCCACATTGGTGGTAGGAACGGTCGACGGTACTGCGATGGGTACCGGATTTGTTAGTTATACCGCAACATCTTCAGAAAGGCCACAACCTCATCCTTGGTTGGGAGAGGTGCGTATTCGCTCAAACCAAGATCCGTCTCGGTTAGTAGTTGAAGGACACGGGAAAACAGCGACCTGGATATATGAACTGTGATGAATTCCTTGGAGGCGGGAACGTAAAACTCATCAACAATCCCACGTTGGGAGTCGATGATGTAATAGGACTACCAAAATTCTTGAATGAAACGCTCAGGAATGGCATCATCAGCGTTTGTGAGGGCAGGGTTCAGAAAGTGGTGGTGAAGGATGTCGATGTTTGGGTGAAACTTGGAGTCAAAACTGTCCAAGATTAGGTAAAGAGAGTGGTTGTTGGGTTTCGAAAAAGAGCGGGATGATGTTTTGGTTTGTTCCCTCAATGGATTTGAGGGTTGTGGTATGGGTTTGGGAGTTGTTTGATTCGGATTTAGACTTTGTGCAGGTTTCTTGGCGAAGAAGATGATTGGTATTTGGGTTTTGGGAAAAGTTAGGGTTTGAGAAAGATTTTTTAATCGGTTCTTGATTTAGCATTTTTTGAACAGTTTTGGGTTCAAAGAACTTACTTCCAATGGGAAATCGATTGAATCGAACTGGAATTGATGTTTTGTGGAGCTTGAAGTTCGTCAATGGCGGTAACAGTTCTTGAGTTCTTGGAAGGAAATACTTAGAGTAATAACTTGAGAGATTTTGAAAGCGTAAAGAAATTTGATTTTGAGGATAATGACTCATTTAAATAATGATTTCCTAATAGGCACTCAAGTGAAAATCGCCCCGAAGCATCAAAAACTGAAGCGGTTTCTACACAAGCCTGTGGGGAGAAGCCACGTGGCTTGACAGGTTGTGCATCCCGCCTCCCTTATTTGGAAAATTAGGGATACAGGCGGTGAGCTTCTGTAAGTGACAACTTAAAAAAATTAAATAATTAATTACGCCTTCAAATAAAAGATAAGAGTTTTTCAGACAGAGTTTTGACAAAATAGGAATGGAAGGAAAACTTTGTTTGAGACATAACACTTAGAAAACAAAATAAGAGAACACATACTCTGGGTCATAAAGAAAGATGACAACCATCGTTAGAAAGATGCTCTGTATGATAGATACAGATGTGGTGTACACGAAAGTGGAACAAAAAAATTATGGATGAAACTAGAGTATGGTTATAGGAAAGGATTACATACCTTAGGAACACACACAAAGACTTATGGTTGGACTATACAGATATTCTCTCTTTAAATTTGGAATTTTAAAGAGATAGATGCTCTGTATAGTACATACAGAGGCTCTGTATGGTCCACGATCCGGTGCTCCCCCTTGAATTAAGCTATCTGAGCTTTCTCCCCCTTGAACTATGCTTGGATCAAAAAATCATAAGAAGTGTACAACCATGGTGAACAAGGTATATAGACACTTTGTATAGAATATACAGAAGCTCTATATGACAAAAAGATAAAAGACTCAAGCAAGACACTCTGCATAGTAGATACAGAGTCTCTGTCTCATAGACAAAACAAAATAACCAGGTGTCAAACTGAAATATGCTCGAGAAGGATGCAGAGGCTCTGTATAGTACATACAAAGGCTCTATCTGAGTTAATGTAGATTGAGCATACCCAACTTGCTAACTAAGAAGTTGAATCTCATTTCGTCAAGAGCCTTAGTAAAGAAGTTACCAAGTTGATGGTTTGTATTGACAAAGAACATTTCAATCGTACCTTTCTCTACATGGTGTTTGATGAAATGGTAGCGTACATCGATGTGCTTTTTTTAGTGTTGTACTGGATTTGTTGTGATCGCAATCACGCTTTCAAAGTCACAGAGGATTGGAATCTTGTCGAACTCAATACAGTAGTCTTTGAGTTGGCCAGTGGCTAATCATTTAGAACTACCGGAAGAGCTCAGTTTAATTCACAACACTTTTCATATGTCAAATTTGCAGAAATGTTTAGCTGATTCAAGTCTAGCAATACCACTTCCAGAAGTTAAATTAGACAGTAAACTGAACTTTGTGGAAACACTAGAAGCTATAACTGACCGAAAAATCAAGGTATTGCGGAACAAAGAAATCAGCTTGGTAAAAGTACAATGGCGTTTCCATAAGGGTACAGAAGCAAAATGTTTATTCAAATCAGTTTGAGTAAGAGCTCTGTCTCTTAATATCTTCTGCATAAGAGCTCTTGGTGCAGACCGCTTCAAAAGACTAAGTCTTTAAGGACTAGAGTAAGAGGCTTCTTACTTGCACTTTTACAAGATGGGGTCTAAAAAAGTTTCTCGATGGAAAGGTGTTATTAGATTTGGAAAGAAAAGTAAGCTCAGTCCAAGGTATATTGGTCCATTTAGAATTTGCAAATGGGTTTGGCCAGTGGCTTATCAGTTAGAATTACCGGAAGAGCTCAGTTTAATTCACAACACATTTCATATGTCAAATTTGCGGAAATGTATAGCTAATCCAAGTCTAGCAATACCACTTCCAAAAGTTAAATTAGACAGTAAACTGAACTTTGTGGAAACACCAGAAGCTATAACTGACCGAAAAATCAAGGTGTTGCAGAACAAAGAAATCAGCTTGGTAAAAGTACAATGGCGTTTCCATAAGGGTACAGAAGCAACCTGGGAATTAGAATCTAAAATGAGAACCAGGTACCCATGGCTGTTTATTTAAATGAATTTCGGGACGGAATTTTTGTGAGGGATGGATAATGTGATAACCGGGATTTAAGGTAGCAGTAGTTGAGGTAATCTTTATGTGATTATTATGTGAATGTGTGTTTGTGTGCATATTTCTTTATGATATTGATTATATGAGTAGGTAAAATGCATGGATGATATATGTATACATATGGGTTACTGTGCTTACAATAGGAAGTATTAAAATATATATGTAATATGCATTTATGGGAGATGAAGATGAGAGGTTTAATATATTAAACATCCACTTCCTTGTGAGTTTTATAATATTAAAATTTTCCACTGCCTCAATGAAATATATATAAGTGGGATACGATTAATCCTATCCTACTTATATTCTTAAAAAGGAAAAAGAGGCAGTTCCTTAGTCCAATGGTTACAAACAAAACTTGACTAAGCAGTTCCTTAGTCCAATGGTTACAAACAAAACTTGACTAAGCAGNTCCTTAGTCCAAAGGTTTCAAACAAGTAATATGCATAGTTTGCTTAATCTCATGCTTTTTCCCCAAAACAATAAACAAAGTATTAAAAGTGGGGCCGTGAGTACTCACTAGTTTGATGATGAATATCCCAGTAAATGAAGTTTGAAGCTTTCAACGTCGGCCATGTCTTCCTAAATAAACCAACATCCCACATTCAGATCACCTATGAGTTCTAGACGAGAATAGAGTCAAGTTGCACCCTATGTAATGCCATTGGATTTTTATGAATTAAAGTTGATATTTTATAAATAAACTAATAATAGTCCAAAATAAAAGAAATCAAAATCTTTTACTACAAAAGCTGATTTTTGGACAGATTCTACATCATGTTCCAAGAATTTTTGGGGTTCACAAGACTCTAAAGGTAGAAACCTTCTAAAAGTAATTTTATGTCCAACTAGTCACATCATTTAAAATAATGACATCAGCCGACTATTCCAATTATCAAGAAATTTGAGTGGGTTTTAAATTCCTCATCATTACTCAACAACCTTGAATTACACAGCCCGCAAAACAGATTTCACAATCACCAAGCGGCAGTTATTTGGGGTCTAAACTCATCATTTTCCAAAGATTTAAATTCTATTTTCAAACTAACAAACGAATTTACTCAGTCTCTAGAAGATATTTTCTGATTCCATTAAATCTTGAAGATGGCAAAGCCGATCAGAGATGCATGTGATGCATGCAGAGTTCTACCATTCTTCAAAACATAACTTTTCATGACAGACTTTGCATGCAATGGGTTTTCTCCTACTTTCTTAAGATCAAAGAACATGGATCATAGATTATCATCCTTTTTGAAGACATTTTCAGGTCTTTGATGAATAATCTCCCCTCTTTRATTTTCCAGAAATTTTACTAAAAGATCGAGTAGTAGGAGTAGGAGGATGAAAACTTTTGATATTCTATAAAAGTAGGATAACTAGTATCGTACCTTTTTCTTAGAATCTTGAATAYTCTTCAAGATTRACAAAACTTCTTGAAGGTTTGCTTGAAGGAATCGGCTGGAGGGTGATTTGCTTTAGAGAGAGATTAGAAAGATAAAAAGCTTAAGCTGAGAATTTGGAAATGAATGTTTTTCAAAGGATGTGGGGTATTTATATGAGGATTTTTAAACCAGAAATTGGGCTAGCCTCTAAAGGCCCAAACCCAAATAAAACTTTTATTTTTCTTAAATAATAATAAGCCCACTTAGATTTAAAACCCACCAAATAATTTATTAATAAAATTAAATCCAAAGCTCCACCTTTTACTAAAAATCATTTGGACATTTAAATGAGACTTTTGCATTTTAATTTTAAAAATTTATAATATCAACTTTATTTTATTTGGAACGTTTCTAAAATATTTGGCATTACACAAGTTAACTTTATCATTTGCCTGCTGAGGCGGATCTTCCAAGCTAAATTTTGGGTACTGAATCAGATGTACTCTAACCA